TTATTATGGTTCATGGGTGCTCACCGGGTGCCAGGCACATTCACACATTCTACTGAAATGGCAAAACGCACAACGCGTATTTTAGATGCTTTTCAATGCCACCTAGAAACACGTTGTGGCTCTGCCGCGATACATCGCGCTGCAGTCGCGGCAAACTGCAAGGAACGAAGCTTGTAGCCCAAAAAGGAGCAGGAGCTTCTTTTGGGCGACAAGCTTCGCGCATTGCGCAATTTATAGCGTGACGATTGCGGCAGAACCACATCGCGTTTTTAGGTGGCATTCAAATGAATGACGTCTAAAGTCCGTGTTGTGCATTTTGCCATTTTAGTAGAGAGTTTTGAAATCCATGCAGAGTCATGGCGATTCTGCCCGCAATTCAAAACGCCTAGGTGTGAACGCAGCCTAAGACCCCGTTCACATTTGAGCGTTTTTCGGATCAAAGCTCAACAAGTAAAATCCATTTTTTTTCCAATAAACTTCAGCCTTCTGTCACCTGTAGCAAAATGCCTGTCACTCAAAAAAGTACTTGCGCTACTTTTCAGGTAGATCTGAGCGTTTTGTCCCCATAGACTTGAATGGAAAATGCCTGAACTGTGGAAATTAGCTTTTTTTTCCAGGCATTTTCAGCTCAAACAGTAGCTGTTTCTATTGGCCACAGCAAAAAAAACGCCTACAATATTTACAAACATGCTAAAAAACAAAAAAACACTCAAAAACACCTGAAAAAAAACACCTGGAAAAACGCTCAGCTCAGTGTTGTAGCCTAAAGGCCATGTATGTGATGGGAGTCACTTTGGGTGGGGGGCCCATGGAACACAGCCCCCTTTAGAGAGGTGGGGGGACCCCTGTCTCTGCTCCCCATATCCCTCTTATGCAGGGGCGGACTGACCATTTGGAAACTCGGGCACTGCCCGAAGGCCCAGGGTCAGTAGGGGGCCCCATGAGGTGCCCCTGGTACCTTTTTCATAGGCTTTTTTGAGTTTGGGCAAGGACACAGGGGCCCCATGACCCTCTATTGCCCGGGGGCCCCATGAGTTGTCAGTCCGCCCCTGCTCTTATGTGTAAGTCACCCTGTGCCTGTTAGGGGTACAGGGTGGAATGTCCTGCTATTGTGTAGACATGTGTAGGAGATAGGTGGGGGGGGGGGGGGTTGGGTTCATTGTTCACTGCCATGTGGCTGTAACCCATTGTTCTATTGTGTGTCTTGCTTGGGAGCAAACTATAATGGGATGTGTTTGTGTATTGGCTTGGTGGGGGGTGTTTCCGGCAGCCCTTTCCCCTGATGGGACGGCCTGCTGATGTGTTTCCTGTTACTGAGTGTATTTCCCCGCCCTGTGTATATATCTTGTATCTGTGTTAAAATAAAGCAGTCTATCTCCTGGAATCCTTCAAGTCTGGTGCTGTCTCCTCTTGTATGGTCAGCGGTGGTGTCCGGGGATCTGTGTTCAGACAGGGAAGCGGGAGTCTAACAGAAATACCCTAGTGCAGTCAGGGTCCGGTTCCGTTACACCATGTCATGTACATTTTTGTATATTTCAATTTCTGACAGGTTCCCAAACTCAAAAAAGATACGTCATTACTGGGTCTGGAATGCTCAGATATTGTATATGGATTCTCCATGTGGTAGGACCGAATAATCCAGCATCTATCAAGAAAACTGTCCTGGATGTCCTGCAGGAGTGTGAGAACCTTCAGGCCTCTTCTGTCAGCTTCCCCGCTCTGGGAACAGGTATGATCCATGCATCACAGACAGTTCTACTTCCATGTGCCAGACACAATAAGTGTTCCTCTCAGCTGCACCCAATAACCACCCAACTTGGTTTAGGAGACTTACTACATGGGAAGGTGTTCTACACATCTACTGTGCTTCATGGGATTGTCAGCAGTGTGTTGGGTTCCCACCATCCTTATGCTGAGTTCACGGGTCTGTACCCCCGCTCTGCCCATTATGAGGGGTTCCCACCATCCTTATCCTGACTTCCCAGGTCTGTACTCCTGCTGTGCGCATTATGAGGGGTTCCAACCATCCCTGTGCTGAGTTCCTGGGTCTGTACCCCTGATGTGCCCTTTTTGAGGGGTTCCCACTATCCCTGTGCTGAGTTCCCGGTCTGTACACCCGCTGTGCTCATTATGAGGGGTTTCAACCATCCCTGTGCCAAGTTCCCAGGTCTGTACCCCCGCTGTGCCCATTATGAGGAGTTCCCACCATCCTTATTATTATTATACAGTATTTATATAGCGCCAAAGGGTATGCTCAGCGCTGTACAATAGCAAGGGGGACAGAACATGAGACAAGACAGTAACAATACACTACACAAGGGGTTCGAGGGCCCTGCTCTTTCGGGCTTACAATCTAGGAGGGAGGGGAAGGTGGTACAGGAGGAAATGGCTGTGGGGCATGGAGTGATGGGAGGAGTGGGGGAGGTTAGTTGTTAGGTGAGGTCGGGTGTTAGGTGACGGTGGGGTAGGCTTCCCTGAAGAGATGGGTTTTCAGGGTGCGCCTGAAGGTGAGGAGGGTAGGTGACCGTCTGATGGATTGGGGGAGGGAGTTCCAGAGGATGGGGGAAGTCCTAGAGAAGTCCTGCAGTCGGGCGTGGGAGGAGGAGATCAGGGAGCTAGAGAGTAGGAGGTCCTGTGAGGAGCGGAGGGCACGGGTAGGGTGGTATTTGGGTATCAGGTCAGTTATGTAGTTTGGGGCGGCGTTGTGAACGGCTTTGTAGGTCAGAGTTAGCAGTTTGAATTTGATGCATTGGGCAATCGGGAGCCAATGAAGGGATTGGCAGAGGGGGGAGGCAGATGTGGAGCGGTTGGTGAGGTGGATGAGTCTGGCCGCTGAGTTTAGGATCGACTGGAGTAGGGATAGCGTTCGTTTGGGTAGGCCAGTGAGGAGGGAGTTGCAGTAGTCCAGGCGTGAGATGATGAGGGAGGCCGGTGAGAAGGGAGTTGCAGTAGTCCAGGCGTGAGATGATGAGGGAGTGTACGAGTTGTATGGTGGTGTCTGGGGTGAGGAATGTGCGTATCTTGGAGATGTTGCGGAGGTGGAGCCTGCAAGATCTAGATAGCAGTTGGATGTGGGGTAGGAAGGAGAGGTGGGAGTCCAGGGTGACACCCAGGACTTTGGCGTGTGGGGTGGGAGAGATGGTGGCGTTGTTAGTAGTGATGGAGGATGGGGGGGGGGGGGGGGGGGGGAAACCAGGAGCTCGGTTTTGGATAGGTTAAGTTTGAGGAAATGGAGCGACATCCAATCTGATATGTGGTTTAGGAGGTGGGTGATGCGGGCAGAGAGTGAGGGGGTGAGGTGGGGGGGTGGAGAGGTAAATTTTGGTGTCATCGGCAGAGAGGTGGTAATTGAAGCCGTGGGAGTGAATAAGTTTGCCAAGGGAGGAGGTATAGATGGAGAAGAGGAAGGGCCCGAGGACAGAGCCTTGGGGGACCCCGACAGAGAGGGGGAGGTGGCAGTGTTGTAGGTAACGCTGAAGGAGTGGTGGGAAAGGTAGGAAGAGAACCAGGAGAGACCAACGTCCTTGATGCCAAGGGAGTGCAGTTTGGCAAGGAGGAGAGGGTGGTCAACAGCGCTAAAAGCCGCGGAGAGGTCGAGGAGCAGGAGGATAGAATAGTGGCCATTGGCTGTGGCAGTTAGCAGGTCATTGGTGATTTTAAAGTAGGGTGGTTCCGGTATAGTGTAGGGGACGGAAGCCAGACTGTAGGGGGTCAAGGAGGTTGTTATCAGTGAGGGGGGCGCTTAGGCGAATGTAGGCCAGGCGCTCAAGGAGCTTGGAAGTGAAAGGCAGGAGGGAGATGGGTCTGAGGTTGTTAAGGTTAGTGGGGTCAAGGGAGGGTTTTTTGAGTATGGGGTGATGCGTGCGTGCTTTAGAGGGGAGGGGAAGGTGCCGGTGGAGAGGGAGAGATTGAAGATGTGGGTGAGGGAGCGAATGATGGAGGGGGGGGGGGGGGGGTGACTGGAGGAGCTGTGAGGGGATAGGGTCCAGCGGGAGGTGGTGAGGCGGGCTTCAGTGAAGACCTTAGAGACCTCCTCAGAGGTAGTTGGGCTGAAGGAGCGGAGTGTTGGGGAGGTGATGGTGTGCGGGGGCATTGGGTATAGTGGGGGGTAGTGTGCGGCTATGAGGTCAGGGGAGGGGAGGGTTGCGGGTTTGGAGAAGGGCGAGAGACTGGGTGGAGAGGTGGATTGTGAGTTGACAATGTCCTTATGGATTGCGTCAATCTTGTTTTGGAAGTGATTGGCAATCTTGTGGGCGGTGAGTGAGGTGCTGGGTGGAGGTGGGGGGGAGAGAGCAGGGAGTTGAAAGTGGAGAAGAGCCGGCGAGGACAGGTGGAGAGGGTGTTGATAAGGGTTATGAAATAGGCTTGCTTGGCGGCGTGGAGGGAGGTGGTGTAGGCGAGGTAGACGGCTCTGTAGAGGGAGAACGCACGAGGGGATCTGCTTTTGCGCCAGAAGCGCTCCAGCGCTTATGCTGAGTTCCCGGGTCTGTACTCCTGCCGTGCCCATTATGAGGGGTTCCAACCATCCCTGTGCCAAGTTCCCGGGTCTGAACGCCCGTTGTGCTCATTATGAGGGGTTCTCACTATCCCTGTGCCAAGTTCCCGGGTCTGTACCCCCGCTGTGCCCATTATGAGGGGTTCCCGCCATCCTTATGCTGAGTTCCCGGGTCTGTACCCCCACTGTGCCCACTATGAGGGGTTCCCACCATCCCTGTGCTGAGTTCCCAGCTCTGTACACCTGCTGTGCTCATTATGAGGGGTTCCCGCCATCCTTATCCTGACTTCCCAGGTCTATACTCCTGCTGTGCCCATTATGAGGGGTTCCCACTATCCCAGTGCTGAGTTCCCGGGTCTGTACGCCCGCTTTGCCCATTATGAGGGGTTCCCACTATCCCAGTGCTGAGTTCCCAGGTCTATACACCCGTTGTGCTCATTATGAGGAGTTCCCAATGTGCCTGTGCTGAGTTCCTGGGCCTGTACACCCCCCCCCCCCGTACCCATTATGATGGGTTCCCACCATCCCTGTGCTGAGTTCCCGGGCCTGTACACCCGCTTTGTCCATTATGAGAGGTTCCTACCATCCCTGTGCCAAGTTCCCAGGTCTATACGCCCACTGTGCCCATTATGAGGGGTTCCCGCCATCCCTGTGCAGAGTTCCCGGGTCTTTACGCCCGCTTTGCCCATTATGAGAGGTTCCTACATCCCTGTGCCAAGTTCCCAGGTCTATACGCCCACTGTGCCCATTATGAGGGGTTCCCGCCATCCCTGTGCAGAGTTCCCGGGTCTTTACGCCCGCTTTGCCCATTATGAGAGGTTCCTACATCCCTGTGCCAAGTTCCCAGGTCTATACGCCCGCTGTGCCCATTATGAGGGGTTCCCGCCATCCCTGTGCAGAGTTCCCGGGTCTTTACGCCCCGCTTTGCCCATTATGAGGGGTTCCCGCCATCCCTGTGCAGAGTTCCCAGGTCTTTACGCCCGCTTTGCCCATTATGAGGGGTTACCACCATCCCTGTGCCAAGTTCCCAGGTCTATACGCCCGCTGTGCCCATTATGAGGGGTTCCTACCATCCCTGTGCTGAATTCCCATGTCTGTTTGCCCGCTGTGCCCATTATAAGGGGTTCCCACCATCCCTGTGCTGGGTTCCCAGGTCTGTAGACCGGTTAATTAACCGATTCTACCAGTTTCTTGGAGCTTTGAGAGAAGCTTTATGTAGTATCCTCATCTGCTACAATTTTTCAATACAGAACTTTTGGTTCCTCTGAGTGATGTTTTTTACCTTTTACATTTACTGAAAGAAAAGTTACATTTTGTGGTCAGTAGATATCTATGGTAAACATTTTGTCTCATTGATACAGGTGCGGGGGGGATTAGCCGCCTCCACAGTGGCCGACTTAATCCTGGATGGTTTGGAGGAGTTCATCAAATCTAAATCGGTCCGTTCTCTTCGGACGGTGAAAGTGGTTCTGTTCCAGCAACAGTTGCTGAACGATTTCTACAGGAGCATGAAGAAGAGAGAGGAGACTGCCCTGCCCAAAACAAAAAAGGAAGAATTCACTAGGATCTGCGGTGAGTTGCGGTGAGAGTTCGGGACGGTCAACTGAACAAAAAAGGGGAAGAAACATTTCTGTATGTACAGTGGGGGAAATCATGATTTGATCCCCTACGGATTTCGTACATTCGCCCACTTACACAGAAATTAAGGGTCTATATATTTTTATCATCGGTGTATTTTAAAGGATAGAGACAGAATATCAACCAAAAATCCAGAAACAACACATGATACAAATCTTATAAATGGAGTTGCCATTCAGTGAGTAAAATAAGTATATGATCCCCAAGCAAAACATGACTTAGTACTTGGTGGAGGAACCCTTGTTGGCGAGCACAGAGGTGAGATGTTTCTTGTAGTTGGTGGAAGAACCCTTGTTGGTGAGCACAGAGGTGAGACGTTCCTTGTAGTTGGTGGAGGAACCCTTGTTGGTGAGCACAGAGGTGAGACGTTCCTTGTAGTTGGTGGAGGAACCCTTGTTGGTGAGCACAGAGGTGAGACGTTCCTTGTAGTTGGTAGAGGAACCCTTGTTGGCGAGCACAGAGGTGAGATGTTTCTTGTAGTTGGTGGAAGAACCCTTGTTGGCGAGCACAGAGGTGAGATGTTTCTTGTAGTTGGTGGAAGAACCCTTGTTGGCGAGCACAGAGGTGAGATGTTTCTTGTAGTTGGTGGAAGAACCCTTGTTGGCGAGCACAGAGATGAGACGTTCCTTGTAGTTGGTGGAGGAACCCTTGTTGGTGAGCACAGAGGTGAGACGTTCCTTGTAGTTGGTGGAGGAACCCTTGTTGATGAGCACAGAGGTGAGACGTTTCCTGTAGTTGGTGGAGGAACCCTTGTTGGTGAGCACAGAGGTGAAACGTTCCTTGTAGTTGGTGTAGGAACCCTTGTTGGCGAGCACAGAGGTAAGACGTTCCTTGTAGCTGGTGGAAGAACCCTTGTTGGAGAGCACAGAGGTGAAACATTCCTTGTAGTTGGTGGAGGAACCCTTGTTGGCGAGCATAGAGATGAGACGTTTCTTGTAGTTGGTGGAAGAAGCCTTGTTGGCGAGCACAGAGGTGAGATGTTTCTTGTAGTTGGTCGAAGAACCCTTGTTGGCAAGCACAAAGGTGAAACGTTCCTTGTAGTTGGTGGAGGAACCCTTGTTGGCGAGCACAGAGGTGAAACGTTCCTTGTAGTTGGTGGAGAAACCCTTGTTGGCGAGCACAGAGGCGAGACGTTCCTTGTAGTTGGTGGAAGAAGCCTTGTTGGCGAGCACAGAGGTGAGATGTTTCTTGTAGTTGGTCGAAGAACCCTTGTTGGCAAGCACAGAGGTGAAACGTTCCTTGTAGTTGGTGGAGGAACCCTTGTTGGCCAGCACAGAGGTGAAATGTTCCTTGTAGTTGGTGGAGGAACCCTTGTTGGCGAGCACAGAGGTAAGACGTTCCTTGTAGTTGGTGGAAGAACCCTTGTTGGCGAGCACAGAGGTGAAACATTCCTTGTAGTTGGTGGAAAAAAACCCTTGTTGGCGAGCACAGAGGTGAAACGTTCCTTGTAGTTGGTGGAGGGACCCTTGTTGGTGAGCACAGAGTTGAGACGTTCCTTGTAGTTGGTGGAGGAACCCTTGTTGGTGAGCACAGAAGTGAGATGTTCCTTGTAGTTGGTGGAGAAATGTCTCACCGCTGTGCTCACCAACAAGGGTTCCTCCACCAACTACAAGGAACGTCTCACCTCTGTGGTCGCCAACAAGGGTTCCTCCACCAACTACAAGGAACGTCTTACCTCTGTGCTCACCAACAAGGGTTCCTCCAACTACAAGGAACGTCTCACTTCTGTGCTCACCAACAAGGGTTCCTCCACCAACTACAAGAAACGTCTCACCTCTGTGCTCGCCAACAAGGGTTCCTCCACCAACTACAAGGAACATCTCACCTCTGTGCTCGCCAACAAGGCTTCTTCCACCAACTACAAGAAACGTCTCATCTCTATGCTCGCCAACAAGGGTTCCTCCACCAACTACAAGGAATGTTTCACCTCTGTGCTCTCCAACAAGGGTTCTTCCACCAGCTACAAGGAACGTCTTACCTCTGTGCTCGCCAACAAGGGTTCCTACACCAACTACAAGGAACGTTTCACCTCTGTGCTCACGACAAGGGTTCCTCCACCAACTACAAGGAATGTTTCACCACTGTGCTCTCACCAACAAGGGTTCCTCCACCAACTGCAAGAAACGTCTCACCTCTGTGCTCACCAACAAGGGTTCCTCCACCAACTACAAGAAACGCCTCATCTCTGTCCTCGCCAACAAGGGTTCCTCCACCAACTACAAGACACGTCTCACCTCTGTGCTCACCAACAAGGGTTCCTCCACCAACTACAAGGAACGTCTCACCTCTGTGCTCACCAAACAAGGGTTCCTCCGCCAACTACAAGAAACGTCTCACCTCTGTGCTCACCAACAAGGGTTCCTCCACCAACTACAAGGAACGTCTCACCTCTGTGGTCACCAACAAGGGTTCCTCCAACTACAAGGAACGGCTCACTTCTGTGCTCGCCAGCAAGGGTTCCTACACCAACTACAAGAAACGTCTCACCTCTGTGCTCACGAACAAGGGTTTCTCCAACTACAAGGAACGTTTCACCTCTGTGCTCACCAACAAGGGTTCCTCCACCAACTGCAAGGAACGTCTCACCTCTGTGCTCGCCAACAAGGGTTCCTCCACCAACTACAAGACACGTCTCACCTCTGTGCTCGCCAACAAGGGTTCCTTCACCAAGTACTAAGTCATGTTTTGCTTGAAGCACCACAATGTGATAATTATGTCTAAATACAAGTTTGTTCCAACGGGCTCTGGGGGTTTTAACGCAACTCCTTTAGTTGGGGCTTAACAGAATAAATCCGGGATACAGTGTAGGCAGACTCAATTATCAGTATATGGTATCAGTATACTGGTGAAGTATAAGGCCTAGTACACATGATCAGAACATCGTACGAAAAGTACCGCTTTCAAAGCATTTGTGCGTCATTGTTAGTACACAGTTTATGTCTGAGATTATTCGAAGGGACAAGCACGAAAATGTTTTCTAGTACAATACCAAATTGTACGATTTTCATTTAATCAGTACAGTTTTAATCTGAAAATACAATACAAATACTTGACATCACTTCCGAATCTTTATTCGAGAATTTTTATAACTTTAGTAACCTCTTCATTTTCGATATGAGTATGCAGAAAAAAAAAAAAAAAACAGACAATCATTCGTCCGATATTCTCATCATGTGTACGGGACTTTACGAGTTTGCACAGCAAACATCAGGTTCAAGCAGCAGATCACTGGAGGCCCCGAAAAATGTAGATATGATTCTGCAAATGTTGTGAGTGGAGTGGAGTTGGCTTAACTGTTTGCAAACTTTCCTGGAAAAGTTTTAGAATGGAATAGTTTTAGAATGGAATAGTTTTAGAATGGAATAGTTTTAGAATGGAATAGTTTTAGAATGGTATTATCTAACAGTTGTGCAAATCATGTCAATAGATAAAGGATCAATTTTAGATTTCCAATAAAGGTTATTGTGACAGACCCAACCGGGACGGGGGCTTTTGGAGGAGACTGCAGGCTAGCCGCTTGCCTAGTGACCATGGGCCCTGGCATCTGAGGGGGCTCTATTCTTTGGGAGGTGTGTGCCCGGAGGGACCTTTGGAGTAGTTTTACTTTGGATTCAAGTCCATATCTCCCCAAAACAGAACTGCTTCCCCACCTCTGGGACACAGAAACAAGGTATTATAGCCGGGAATTGCACCCGAGGACTAGGCAACACTAGCTTAAGTGCAACTGGAACGGTTTATTGAACAGAAATACAGGTTTTTATACACTTAAGAAATAGGGCCAGTCCCCACATGAACAATAAAAAAAAAAATATTACACATTGGGATAAACATACCACACTGATTAGAATACGAGGTAAAGCTGACACCAATCTAATCCCATCATGTAGGAACCTCCAGGATCACTAGCCAACAGACAGAAACAATAGGTGACTCAATTAACTCAATTAACATTGGGACAAAAACACAACAGTAAACACATCACACCTTAACAAACAGATTGCGGCAATAGGCCTCAGCATCAGGTTGGTTTGAGTTGATTATAATAAGACCTGCCCTGAGTCTAGGAGGGGGATGGAAGCAGCCAATGCTGGTTTGGGCACAGGGGTGTATTAACCACAAGGCAAACAAGGCATTTGCCTAGGGCGGCATTTTTTCAGGGGGGGCAGCAGCATTTTTCAGGGGGGAAGCGCCAAACCCCAAAAGAAGGGATGGAAGAAAGGACACAAGGTGGGATCTGAGAAAGACTGCTTGATGGTGTATGCAGAGCCTTACTCTTGTTCCCAGGGTTGTCCAGCAGCTGTGAAGGTGAGTGTCTCTTGCCAGGGTGTGTGTGTGGGGGGGGGTTTGCCAGTGTGCATGGGGCCATGGTAATGGAAGGCTCTCCCGTTCAGGCTCTTATCGTGGGGGAGGGGGGT